CTAGGCTACCGTAGGCTGACCTTGCTTGAGGGCGCTATCCAGTACAGCAAAGCCAGGATTGGCAGTCCAACAGCCACCCCGAACACCACTAGCAATTTCACAGCGGTAGTCTGCTGCCGGAGCCCAGACAGATTTTCATACCAAATGGAAAGGAGCTGCTGCTGACAGTTTGGATGAGCTACAAACTGTGTGGGAGGCGTTTAAACATTTAACAATGCATCAGGCAAGGAGTTTATTTTGTATATGTCAGCTGCAGCACTGATATTAAAGATCTTATTAAATTAAACCTAATTAAGACATCCATTAAAAGGCTGTATGAAAATAGAAACATATTTTAGAAACTTCACCTTCTTAAGCTCATATTTGATGGCCAGTTTTAGACGAATGAGACTCGGTCTGCCTGTTTTGTCGTTGCCATTTAACTCTGTGTCTCCATTCAAGATGGCTTCCACCTCTTCTGTGTTCCGGCACAAGTCCAAAAGTCCAACGACAAAGTCTTTGCATTGCATAGACAGTTTCTTATAATCATTCTGTAAATGAAAATCAGCACACTGTTGATTGTAACAGCATTATATTATAACTTGTCTAATAAATACATTAAACAGATGAGTATCAAACAGTAACAGCTTCTTAACGTACCAATTGCATTTTGTCTTTTCACACATAGTGGCTAAATAATTTGGGTTTTATGGAGAACTAGGATGCATTTGGAAATAGAAATGTGTTACCCATGATCGTTCTGCAGCATGGGCTTTGAGCTCTAATTCATATGATTATCCACATGACACCTTAAATTAGAAACCTTAAAGAAATCAGGGTTTATCCTGATGCTTTATCCTAATCAGGGTCTTGGTGGATCTGGAGTCTACCCCTGGAACACCGGGCATGAGGCAGGAATACGCCCTGGATAGAAACCCAATGCACACACATTCACACACTGATTCAAACCTAGAAGCAAGTAGCAACACTACACCATGCACCAGAAATGGATAATGCAATTGGAAAATCATTTCATTATATCACTAGCATACTAGTATTAAACAAATAGAACTCAAAGCCAACAGCGTCAACGGGGATGCCTCCGTCGCTAACAAGTCTAGTCCTTCTTTTTACTAATCTGTATGCCTGAAAACCATTTAAAATATACTTCGAGCAGGAAGGAAGCTATTAAAAAAAAACTTCTGAAATTTGAACCTGCTGTGAACTTGATCCTGCTTGGTTCAATTGCAAAATGTAATAAAACATTCAACTACCCATTCTTGAGATATAGCGCTATCAAGAATCTTGGAAGGAAATAATGCCTCCACCACCTAGTAGCAGAAGCATAAAAAGACATGAAGAGGGTTTAAGAGGGGTCTCTGTCAAGATTTGTTCCCACAATCATACTTACTGAGGCCTGGACACTGATTTGAATTGCTTAATCTTTAAGTAATAATTAAGTAACCTAATAAGTGCCCTAGATCTGCTGCAAGCATAGGAGGCCCTTACCTTGAACTCTTTCTCTATGTTGGCCAGCACAGCCAGCTCATTGCTTAGCTCCAGCGCAGTCAGCACAGGGTCTTCACTGGAGAGCGAGAGGTAGGCCGGGCTGGCCAGCCCCTTGTAGGCATTGATACGGGAACGAGAGTGACTGAAGGAGTCGTGCCTCTGGTGGTAGACGCAGGTGTTACATTTACAGAAGTAGTCATGTGGCCGCTCAATGCGAGCTCCCTTCAGTAACAGGATGTGTACAATTTCGTATTCATGGCAGTGAGAGGCCAAGATGATGGGTGTAATGTCTTGTGAAAAACGCATGCCATCATCATCGTAGGCAAAAAAGTCATCATTTATTTCTGCTTGCAAGGTGCTGTTGGTTAGCTTTGATGTGTCTGCAAAGGCCTGGTGAGCCAATATGGCCTCCACTATTCGGATGTAGCCTTTGCTGATGGCCAGAAGCAGAGCATCACCTATCCTGGCCAGGTTGTCTTTCTTCAGCAGTAGCTCCGTCACCTCCAAGTGCTCATTGGCCACCGCCAGCTGTAGCGCATTTTGCCCCATATAGTCCACACAGTTGATATTAAGTTCAGGCAGTTCCTCCAGCATTTTACGGACAACAGGGATGTTTCCGTACTCAGCTGCCTCAAGGAATAGCTCTTCAGCAAGTGACAGGCTGTTGCAGTGAGCGCTAAACATATATGCTGGACGGCGCATAGCCAAGCGACGACTCTTAGCCAGCATCTGGCTCTGGGTAATTTTTCTGTCAGCATTGGTCCTTCTATAAGAGGGGAAAAAAATTCAATTAAACCAAAGTCTTCTGTTTTAATCAAGGCAGATATGACTGTCGCTGAGCCAATTAATGATTGCAATAATTGTCCAAACTGCAAAAGGTCAAGTGCCTCCAAGGTGCCTCAATTTAGTTACTTTAGACACATTTGGAGTAAGAATGTCCTTCATCGCCTTAATCAAAATGATCAGCTATGGATAAATTTATCTTTTGGCTAAATCTGGTTTGATTACAGTGTTTTTATAAAAAATAAAAATCTGTAAAAAAAAAAAATCACAAAAATTATGATAATGAAATGAGTACTAAAGTGCACTCTTTTTTAGAACTTTTCTCCTCTTGGCAGAAGGATGTACACCAAGAGTGCCACAGGAGAGACAGCATGGCGAGGGACAGTGACTCAGAGTCCACAGATTTCAGAGACTGATGGTGCAGAATGGAAAGGCTCCTGCTGTCTGAGTCACAGCTAATAAACTGCCCTGAGTCCAATTAATAACAAAAATGTTGGGTCCATCTGATGGCATAAAAGCTTGTCATTCTCTGTATCTCTGTCTCAGCAGTATTCTCTGTGGGTGTTTGATTCGATAAACATTTCATATGAACTGTGCATATGAGATTTTGGCACGCCCACCTTTAATTAGTAACCATGCTGTTGTAAATAATGTTTGTCTTCCTGCGAAATGATAAAGGAAATGTCTAAGCATTTCGATTTCAAAGCGCGATACATTTTGGGTTTGGAAACACACACCGAAATACAACAGACTTGTAAATACGATTATTTATTAATGTGTAGTTGTTTACTGTGAGTAAAATATGCAGAGCAAAAATAGAATAACTGGAGAGATAATGTGATCTGACATAATGAGATAGCGGTACTGATTCCAATTGGACAGAGGTTGTGAAGCTGTGACTGATGGTGTGCTTGTACTCAAATGTGCATCTCAAGTGTGCTCTACTTGAAATAGGTTGTTCTTGTTAACGAATGACACAAAAAAGTTTAAGCACAAAATGAAAGATACATAAGGGTTTATCAGTTGTCTTTCTACATAGAACCATACAGTGTTTTCCCACGTGGAGCCCTTTTTTTTTTTTTTTTTTTTTTTTTTTTTTTTTTTTTTTTTTTTTTTTTTTTTTTTTTTTTTTTTTTTTTGGTTGTTTGTTTGTTTGTTTTGCCTTAGGAAGGAAGTTACAAACCCTTAACTATCCAAAAAAAAAACCTTAAAGGATTTTCTTTTCTAAGGATCCACATATCATTAGTGATGTATGTTAAAAAAAAATACTGTAAAGTATTGTTTCATGCAGTCATCAGATATACACTTTTTCTGTGTAGCTTAAACAGAGAAGAAATAACAATGTTTCTGTTTTCTACCATGTTGTCATGTGAAATCTTCAATTCACTAGCTACCCCAGTAAACAGAGTAATCCATGAAATGTCACTATAATGAGGTGAGGATGTTGATGAAATCTAGCTTAAAACTTGCCCATATTATACTTATTTATAAATAAATGGAAGGAAATGAGATGTGAAATCAGCTAATTTATCAGTGTGTTATAAACACACACACACACACACACACACACACTTACTTGCCTGGATGATATACCACATTTCATACTATTGATTCCCTTGCAGCCAGCTAACAAAGCAGTTAGTCCTAGGTCCATGGCATCAAATTGATTTTCATTTCTATAATCAATAAACATCAGCTTTGCAGCTTGTACACGATCAGACAAAGCATACAGTATTGGTAAATTTTTGTTCACCAAGGCAATTCTGTAGCCTAATGAGGTTTCTCTACAATTACGTTTTTATTACTAAGTATGCAAATCCACCCTTGAAGTACCACTTCAGTGACAAGTATTTGATTTAAAAAATAAATAAATAAATAAAAAATAAAAAACAATTTGTATTCGAAGCCCTGAAAATGGACATTATATATCAAGTTGTGCAGCTACGTGTATATGTAACACTGGATTTCATGATATGAAACAGCCCTATCTATATTTCTCTTTCAAAAAATTGCATCTTTTTGTCTTGGGAAATCTTAAAGATTCGATGCAGAACATTGGTCGGAGAGTGCCCAAGGTAGAACCTCTTCAGAAATCTAGAAACCCTTAGCTATCCAAAGAACCAGTGAACCCTTTCATGTGAAAGTATGCGCTTTCTCTTTTAAAGCAGTGTGACATAACACACATATACTGATCTGTTCATTGTACGTGGTCCTTAAATGTAATGCTAAAATGCACATTCTTATAATCTTACAGTCTGTGATATGTAAGATTTACAGTCTTTGAAAGAACGGTCAAATCTAGCATGGTGTCCTTTACAGAAACCTGTACAGGTTCTATGAGGAGCCCTACAATGTGCAAGGGAAAGGTACAAGGCATTGGTACCTAGGTGTTTCCTTATAAGAAACAGTTTCAAATAGAAGCTAAAATAAAAATCCCTTAAATATCCAAAGAATCCTTTATCCTTTAAGAGCCTTTAACATTTTGTAGGAGTTTAAGATTATACGGGCATTGTGTTTAAAGATTATGGTTTGAAATGGTCTTGTGCGCTGTAAGACGTGTACTGTAACATTTAAAGTACTTTAGATTTACAGTAAATAACTGTAGTATGTAGCATTGCATAAAATGACACACGCTTCAAGACTTTGGCTGATCCTTAAAAAAAAGTGACTTATAATTGCAACTGAGCAAAAGGTTAAAGGTCTTGCTCAAGGACCCAAGCATAGCAGCTTGGTGCTGCTGGGAGTTGAACATACAACCATCGGAGTTTGAGCTCAAAGCCTTAACCACTGAGCCACCACAATGAGCTCAAACGCCCTGCATTGATCAAACCTCCTCCACCACCGAATTAGCTCGTACTAAAAGATAAATCTCAGTGCTTTACTGAACCAAAGCTTCTACTAGCATACAAAGTTAAACTCAGATAGGGCTCCTATTCGCCTAAATAGTCGTTAAAACAAAGGGATCCACTAATTTGCAGATGTCGAAGCAAGGAGATTTTTATTTATTTTTTTTTACCATTCTCACCCCTGCTAAAAACGTTAGATGTCCCACTATGCATTGCACTATAAGCCTGTCAAATCAACAGTATTTTGCTATAAAATAAATACTGTAAATTTACAGCATTTTTTGTGTGTGTTTGTGTGTCCATTGCGCGCGCAAATCGTGCGCATTGCGCGTGCTATAGGTTATATGTGACCCACTCCGTTCTTTGTGGATTATTAAGTGGCATTTGGGGAAATTACTGGGATACTGGTGTATATTCAGTGAAACTTCAGATTAGTTTCTTGCTGAAGTCAATACGCATAGTAAAGCAATGGAATAATGATGCATGATGCCGTTCTCGCGCGTGGACTATTAAATGAAATTTAAAAGAAAAAAGAAAGAAAGAAAGAAAGAAAGAAAGAAAAGAAGAGGTGTTCACTTATTATTTACTGTTGTGCATGCATTAATGTGGATTTGGCAGAGATTTTGCTTCCTGGCACTAGTAGGGTTTGGAGGTGAACACATTTGGTGTATACCTCGCGCGTCTTAATATAAGAGAAAATGGACTGATTGAGTGCAGATAACTCACCTTAGGTAAGAAGATCTTTGCCGAAAAATTGCCTGTCTCTCCTCACATTGTTCCTTGGTTGGTCCGCGATCTACACTGTGTTCCCGGGCTGAACTTTGCTCTGGAGGTAAACGCTCAGAGCAAATCGGTCTCCTCATGACTTAAAAAACACCTTCAACAGCAGCCCATCCGAGGCAGAACTGCCCATGTGCTTCATTTAAGGTTTGCTTCCTTCGTGCTTTTCATATTAAAGGCGCTGCAAACGAGACCGCTTTCCCTGCCAGTGGATGGAAGAGAGACATCTAACACCCGCGTCCCTGGATCTGGCCAGCTGCCCGGACTCTCCACGCATTAACATCACACACGCTGAAGGATGCTCTGCTCAGGAGCACGCTCTTCTTGTACGTGAATGAACAACAATAGATGTATCTTAAACTCTTTCCTAAATGTCTTTTTTTGCACCACTTATCCTACACAGAGTAACCTGGAGCCTATCCCAGGGGACTCGGAGCACATGGCAGAGGACACCCTGGACAGGGTGCCAATCCTTCGCAGGACACACTCAGACACACACACACACACACACACACTACAGACAATTTGGAAATGCCAATCAGCCTATAACATGTCTTTGGACTGGGGGAGGAAACTGGAGTGCCCCTGAAGCAGGGGAAAACATGCAAACACCACACACACAGGGCGGAGACAGGAAATTTAGAAATAGTTAGTGCCCTGATGAAGTGTTGGAACCATTTGGAACTTCATGCTCAGAAGACTGTTCAGTTGAATGTAAGCTTAAAAAGAAACCCTCCCATACTCCCCCCGATAACTATACAGATCTCACCTTTCACCACTGTTAAATTCCTGTGTCCCATAATCCCCCTGGACCTCGCCTGGCAATCTAACCTAAAATCCATTACCAAAACAGCTTAGGCCCATCAGATTTGCCTCAGTGGAGGTGATTAAACATGCACAATCCACCTCAGTCAATGTTGGTCCAGCCCTACACTTTCATTATTGAGTCCCTTCTCACCTCCTCTGTCACAGTCTGGTGGAGGCTGCAGAGAGAATTATTGGCTGTAACTTGCCCACCCTCCACCATCTGTATGACCCCAGGACTCGATAAATAAGCAAAATAATTACAGACCTCTTTCACCCAGGCTATCAGGGAAATTACAATTAAGACCACAAGTCAAAGGAACAGCTGGTCCGCCCAAGCGACATATTTTATCAGTCGTGTCTAACTCTGAACTATGTGAACATTTCGCATCAGACAAATGCACAGATGAAGTGCAGGGGTGGATATCCACACATAGGGCATTACCACAGTGTTAGAGTGATCATCAGATAACAATGTTATGCCTATACATCATTGAACTACATCATGTTTTACTCCAGGGTCAGGGGCGCAGTGGATGCCAAGCCATGAAGCAACAATACATTATGCTGGACCACTGCAGTGTTTTTACTTTCTTGCACATTTGATTACAAATGCATTGCTTAAATAACAGTAAACTGCAAAAAAAAAAAAAAAAAAAAAAAAAAAAAAACATTTGAAATAAGCTAAATTATCTTCCAAAAGTATAAGACAATTTCAAGCTTTAAATGTGTAAAACTATCTAGAAATAGGCTTAATGATCTTAGATTTGTTTAAAACAGTCCGATAAAGAGAAATATTAGTTGAATTTGCCTACACATAAGATATTTTTACTTAGCAGTGTATTTGCAGCTACAGTATCAACTGAATTTTCTCTTTAAATTAATCAACTCAGACTTGACAATTATTTGATAATGTGTTTGATAATGCTATCTACCCACGAGCAAGCTAGCTAATAGAATAGTTCAACCAGTAGTTCAACCTAAAGTGAAATTTACACAATTTTCTCCACAATATGTGAACAGTCAAGACATGCATGGTGTCCAAAGTTAGCTTTTTTTTCAGTTTTGCTTACTTTGTTTACTTTAAGATCATGGAGATTGTCCATCTCTCAAGTTAGCCCTACTAGCAAGCAAGTTTTTTCTATGTACACTGAATGTATTATTCTGATTTGATAACATAGATTCAGTGTCTTTGATAGGTAAAAACTTAAAGAGCAGCACATAAAAAGTAAATCAGTGGTTTATAGTGAAAGCTCAATCTATTAAGCCAGGCTATGAAGTATGTTTTTTGGAGGTTGGATCACTTGCGGCTGACACTGAGGTCCTGCAATAACCATCTAGTTGCCCACTGGGGACCAATTTCCTAAAACACATGAATCAATGTTGGAACCCCCTTCTTGTTTCCCTGTAAATCCTTATTAAGAAACAAAGAGGAGAAAATGGGAAATGGCTTCCCAGTGCACAACTACATGGTTGTAAAATAAATAAATAAATAATGTGATTCCAAAGTGGATCTATAGATCCAGATGATAATATATTTCCTGGAATTCAAGACTAGGTCCGACGCTACCTTATGTTTTACACCTAATGTTGTGATTTGACATGTTTATTTTGTGTTCCTTTAAAAAAGTACCATCAATGCATCAAGAATAGGCTATTATAAGCTATTCTAAATATCAGTGCCTGTTTACCTCAAAAGCTGAGCTTTTCAAACTACAACCATTAAGTGAATAACATTAAGTGATTATTTAAGTGAGGATTTTATCATAGTTATGTGTAGTTGTAGTAGACAGTGCTTATGTGTAGTTAAAGGTAGAAACTATCTCCCTGCTCCTATTATTTTATTTACAAGAGATGTTTAATGGAAAAGGCTATTGAAACAACCTGGTTGAATAATGGCTTAAATTGTTAAATTAAAAGTTCATTCTGACCTTTGTTTGTTTCCGTAGAAGAAGGTTGATGGAGATAGTAAATCATGACCTCTTCTGTCAATGCTGACAGCTATATTAATGTCAAGTCACAGGCTTTTATATTCACATATCCTGTTTTCCACCTAGAATATCATACACAATTTAACTCACTAAAGTACATTGTGTAACATGACTGTTCATTTCACATACTCTGTAACAACTATCTATCACATTAAGAATATAAAGAGTACCAACCAATTCATCATCATGATCAAGCTGCCTTTCAGATATCAGCTAGTTATTACAGGACCTCAGTGTCAGCCCTGCTTGACAGATCAAGCTTTCACTATATACCACTTATATACTTTTTATGTATGGTTCTAGAAGAAATAGCAAAGACACTGAATGTCAGTTATCAAATCAGAGTTGTTGCTTTTGTTCTTTTGGCTGCTCCCCGTTAAGGGTTGCCACAGCTGATCATTTGATTTGGCACAATTTTTATGCCAGATGCCCTTCCAGACGCAACCCTCCCAAGTGCACTGTCTTGTGCAAACCCAGCGGCTGGGGTTGGTTCCTTGGCCAGGAATCGAACCTGGGCCTAACCACTAGTCCTCCAGGGACCCTAGTTATCAAATCAGAGTATACTTAGAAAAAAGCAGATTACCATTTATTGTGGAGTCTTTCAATTTAGGCATTGGCATTATTTGATTTAAAACAAACAAATATCTGTTGCACCAGGTAACATTGCTGCCACATTGCTTTCCTCGGTTTGATCCTGAGCTCAGGTTACTGTCTGTGTGGAGTTTCTTTGTGTTCTCACATTTCTCAAGTTTCCCCCTGACCAAGATAAAGCTGATAATTAAAAGTAATGAATGCATCTGAAATATGATCGTGGGTGTTATATAGCTTTTTAATGAACTAATGTTGTAAGTATACTATTAAATGAATATACACCTAAATATTACTTTAACACATAAAAAATATGTTGATGTAGTCCTCATTGGGGATCAGATTTTAGATTTCTAACTTAAAATCACAAAATAGTCAGATAAAGTGTTGACTGCCTTGGTTTATGCCATCACTTCTTTCACTCATGTTGATATACTAGTTATAATATCTGTACAATGAGCTAGCATAGATGTCAAAATGAGCAATATACTAGAAAAACTGCAAACGGTTGTAAAAGTTACAGCAGAACAAGATATGACTTTGCTACAGAACTGCCAAGAGCTCCAGGTGCATGTCAGAAAGTGTGTGCATGCTGATGAAACAGGAGGGTCATGTCCAAAACTGTCAATCACCTCATCAACCACACCCTTTTATTTATCATCAAGTAACTCCTATAAAACACATTTATCATAAGGTAAAAATATTGGTGGAAATATCCAGGTCAACTGAGATTGTAAACACCACAGAGCACTATTCCCAAAAATACCCTGGTGAAAAAAAAAAACAGTAGAGA